GTCAGAGATATCGCCTGTTGCTGATGCCTTTGACGATAACAAGACTATTATTATTATTATTATTATTATTATCAGGCTAGTAATACTATCTAATTAATATTAGAGCTTATTTGTTCCATCATATTTATTTTTCCGTGTTTTTACAGTGTTGCGCGAATGCGCGTTATAACCAATCACACACGATTCCTTTGAGTTTATGAATGCAATGGCCAATCAGAGGTGTTCAGACGAGTGACTTCTGACTTGCGAATTCTCCCATCATAAACAACAAAGTGCAGGTGTACATGCGATGTAAATATAAGAGATTTATTGATCATGCGGTGTAACTAGCTTCGCTGATTATAACGGGAGTGTTTTTAAAGTGCATAAACTCGCTCTGGACTGAAGTCAGTTCTTTGATAATGTAAATGTTCTTTGCTCGTTTTCTGTAGCTGCTTTTCGAATAACTGAGGAAATGTAAGCATTATAATTAGTAACTTACAATGTTTCTATAAAATTGTTATAATGTTAATTATAAATTCAGTCATATTAAAAACATTAGGCTTCTTTTAGCCTTAAAGTCGGCATGAAATCAAAATGGACAATTCTTATTTTTTGATGGAATACTGTAGTGTTTATTATAAATAATGTATCTGTGCACTTCATTATTTTTTTTTAATTCATGTGCCCTCGTAATCTTTAATCAAAAACGTTAACCTCCCCTCCCTCTCAAAATGACTCCTCTACTCTTCCGGTCACGAGCTATGGTGCAAGGGCGGAGCTATCTGGAACTGCCAACAGCTGCAGTGACATCAGTGACGTTTGGAATAAACGACGAGGAAAAGCTGAAGCTGATGCTTCACTTTATAGCACTGACACCAGTCATAAGGGAGTACATTACCCTTAAACATTGAAAAGATATTAGGATATTACGACAACATTACTCGTAGAACATCGCAAACTATTTTTTTTTTTTCATGAATATGGCTTAACCTGATGGAGGATGCGCTCAGTCATTCAGGCAGTCGCTCTCGCTCTCTCTCTCTCTCTCTCTCTCTCTCTCTCTCGCGCGCTGTTTAGGCATGTTTTGTGCCGTTGATCGTCGTCACCATCCTTAATAAATAAAACATTTATTCATGCTAGGGTGTCGGCGGTGAATCCAGTGGAGAGAAATCCCCCACAACTAACTGCAAACTGGCATTCAGATCTGATCAAATCAAGTCTCGCCCTCTCATTTCAGATGCCGTTTCACTCGGATATACGTCACAGCAGAGGAGAAAAGACAATCGCAACTTCCGTTTCATGCCGACTTTAAGTGGAGTTGGTTCACTTTCCGGCAATGAAACTAAGTAAATAAATAATTAAATTTGCACGATAATATCGTATTTCGGTGATCTTACAGGCTGACGATAGGACGAAACGAAAATTGAGCATATCGCCCAACACTAGTACAGTATGAAAAATGTATATTAATTTAAAGATTTAACAGTGTTTTATGGAGTAGTTATTATTTAAAAAAAAAATTAATAATGATGATAATAATAATAAGAAATGTTTCTTGAGCACTAAATCAACACATTAGAATGATTTCTTAAGGATCATGTGACACTGAAGTATACTGGAGTATAATGTTCTTAAAACTAATAATACTATTTTTACTGAATTCTGATCAAATAAATGCAGCCTTTGTGAGTGTAAGAGACTTCTTTCAAAAACATGAAAACGCTTTAATGTCCCTGAATGTTTGAGCGGTAGTTTATCGGCCTGAGCACCGGTATTGCACCAACATATTGTGCATCACTAGTTTAAAATGTTTATTAATGATTATCTATATGTTTTTCTAAAACATATAGATAATCTAATGTTATTAGATTAAAAAATCTAATGTTTTTCCATGCGATGGCGCCGCAGACGGCAGCCTCAGTGTTTGGCTCTCCAGTGTTTGTACTGTTTTTGTTAGTTTTTCCTGTTTTTTGTTTCTCAAACACGATCAGTTTTACCAGGGATGAGCTGCTGAACATTCGGCAGAACACACCACACAATCTTCTACCGGATTTAGTTTATTCGGACGTTTTGCTGAACGTTGTATTTGGCGGAGCAGCTGCGCTGATCAAGCACTTCAGGACGTGCAGACGGGGGAAGCGAGCCGGCGCGCTTGTGAAGCTCAGGAAGCGCGGATTCAGAACGGCGCTGCCTAGCATCCATCTGGCGAA